CTCACTTGATGCCAAAGTTCCATCCAGCTGCAGAGTTCACTCCAGCTGGGCCCAAGCACTCTCTTTTTCCTACATCTAAATACTACCCTTCCTTTCAAGCCTCAACTGTACAAGCTTGTCCAGAATCTTCTACTTGGGACTAATCTCTCTCCTAATACCCTTTTAACATATGGCTTGCACTTGGAAAAACTCTAAGGACAGTCTGCTCTGGATGGCAGTTACTTTATGTATGTTTATGTCTTCCTCCCAAGCCTGGCAAATCCCAGCATAATAAAATCCTCTTAGGGATCCTTAGAGAAGTGGCTGATTCCAGGACTGGGGAAAAGCAAGCACAAGATATATCCCAGACACATCTTGTTATGCCAAAGAGTTAGTAAGTGCTCCCTCCCTGTCCCCCAATATGAGGAGGAACATGTCACAAGGACACAGACACCAGTCTTGAAGAAACTTCAACCTGGTCAAATACAGGACCACTTGAGCAACAAAATAATTAAGTATTGTATTGAACTGCAAAGCACTGAAAAAAATAAGTCCACAACAGTAATAGACAAACTAAATAGGGGAGGAAAGGAGTCCTCATTTACAGAAGAATGCCAAATGCCAAACGGTGCCTAAGGAAGTAGGGCTGGAATTTAAAAAAATAAATAAATCATCATTTTGGTTAGGCGCAGTGGCTCACATCTGTAATCCCAGCTACTTGGGAAGTGGAGATTGGGAGGATCTTGGTTTTAAGGGCAGCCCAGGCAGAAAGTTAGCAAGACTTCATTTCAACCAAAAAATCAGGCATGGTGGTGCATGCCTGTGGTCCCACCTACACAGAGGAAGAACACAGGTAGGAAAAACAAAATCTGAGGCCAGCTCCAGGCAAAAACATGAGACTCTATTAAAAAAATAACTAAAGCAAACAGGGCTGAGTATGTGGCTCAAGTGGTAGAGCTCCTGCCTAGCCAATGCAAAAACTCAATAAACTTCAATTTGCAACCACTATAGTAAAGATTGGTTCAAGAGTTATTAATAGATGCTAAATCTAGAGGAAATTTTTGATGAGAAGCAGAGTTCTCAAAATTTGACCCTCAGACCAGCAGTATCAGCATCATCTGGGACTTGTGTCATTGAATCAGAACCTCTGGGAGAGGGGCCCAGCAATCTATGTCTGACACACCCACCAGGTTATTCTGATGTCCATCACATTTAACCTAGACTACAAGTTCCTAGATTCTGTATTTTGAGCTTCTCTGTTCACTACAAAATCTAGCAAAACTCTGTGTGCATAGCCATCTCAAAAAATGCTTGCTGAATCTGGTTTGCCAGTGAATGCTAGGGAAGAAATGGCCGCTGAGGCATGTGGAGATGATAAACTTTTCCAGAGGGCCAGCTACAGCATCATTCATTTCCTAAAGTGAATAAAAAACTGATTTTGAAAACAATAAGGTCAGATTACTCATGAGGTTAATAAAAGCACTACTACCCCAAAAGGGAACATATCTTCTTACAGTCTGTTAAGTCACCACCAACTGAAAATATGCAAAACTTAAAAGCTCTTAGACTAGTATTTAAAAATTAATTCCATGGTTCTAAAAGCAGTGTGCAGAGATTAAAAAGCCATGCTGTGAATCATGCACAATCTGCTTGGAGAAAACAGCATTCAGGTGGCTGTGACATGGCCCAGATTTGATGAGGATGGCCAGATTTCAGAAGAATATCTTCTAGGAGGCATTTCAAGAGACAAGACTCCTGCAAGGAGAATGAGCTGATCAATTTGCCTACTGAGTAGAAAATGAAACAAATAAATTCGTTTTATGCAATTATTTTCTATGTTGACAACTGAAAACTGTTGAAGATTCTCTAGGATGCAGGATATCATCCCAGCCTCACCACATGCCTTTTCTAATTGGCATCCTGAAAGATTTCACAGGAAAAGGGTATTATTTTGGTACTGTTGAGTTAAAGGTTATGTAGTCACAGTGAGGCAGAGGAGAATTCATCTTCAAAATTCACCTCCTTACTGAAAGCCCATGGAGTGTCTTGGCAATTAACAATTCCTATCACCTATAGCTGTTCCCTATGTGAGAAGGCTCAGAACTTGCCTTACAAATTGCTCTTTTGAAGATCAAAGGGAAGCTGAATGTGTCTGTGTGTGCTCTCGATGAGACTGTAATTTAATGGAATTTTTAGAGAAGGCTTTGCTGGCAGTGTTTGGATGACAGCCCCGGGGCGGAGGATTCAGGGGAGCTTGGCCACTCTTCCCTTTGGAGCGTCTTCCCTGCCTTTAATTGGCACCTCATTAGAAATTAATGAAAATGACATCCTCTGTTCTTCCTGCTCTAGGCATGGAATGCTACAAAAAGGCCCATCACAATTCATAACACATTCAATTTATATAGCAATGGCTCTTAAGCATTATTTATGAGATGTGAATTTCTTGTCAGCAGTTAATAACCTGTACAGAGTAGAAGGAGAATGGAAGAAAAGATTGTGAAGATATATTAAAAAAAATTTTCTGCAGTGAAAAAGTATTCTGTTTGAGTTTAAGCTACCTTCCTGAGTCTTCACTTTCAGTAGTAAATTACTGTGCTCCCACCCAGTTAAATGTCTCTCCAACACTCCATGATTCTCAGGAAATAACCACACAACTCACCCTTTCCTAGAGAGATCCAAGAAGACAGACAGGAGGAAGGAACACAAGAGTTATTTGTCAAAGACAATCCCAGAGGTGTATGTTTGCACTGCTGTCCCTTCATCTTTTTTTTAAAGGAAAGCTGTGTCAGGACACTGTCATTTAAAGTGTGACTGCTGTCTTAGTTTTCAGTGTGAACTCTCAGTGAGCGAAATAAACTCCCGTTCTCTAGGAGGCTCCATATGAAGGGGCTGCATAAAGCTCGGGCCTTCTTCTCTAGCTGAGAAGCCTGATCTCCCAGTGGATTCTTGGAACCACACATTAGATAGCTGAGAACAATGCCCATCTGTGGTAGACCCAACAGGCATTTGGAGACCCAGGGTCTCTAAGGATGGTGAAGAGTACAGCACAGTAACCATGGTAGTGGATAGTCAAGCTGGCTTCTGAGAGGGCACAGAGAGTCATCTAACAACTACTTAGCTGGTACTAAGACCTAAGGATATTAGATGGTTTGCATCAAAGCTGAAGAGTAAATTGGAAGACCTGGTTACACCAGCTCTGGATCACAGCACTAAATTGTGAATTTCCGCTGCTGGCCTAACAAGGAGAGGAAGCGTGAGCCACTGCCAGAGGCAAGACAGCACACTTGATGGACCAAATGCTTGATGTGCTATGTCAAATCCTGGCGAAACCTAGGATTCGGTTACTTTCAAGAAGAAAACAAGAACACAGGTAAAGAAAAATTCCACCATTCTGAGGAACAATTAAAGGCCTCTGTTATAAAGGCAACAAGCAAAAAGGCCAGGTAGTCTTCAGAACACTGCTAACAACTGAACAGCTGAAACCCTCCAATAGCTCAATGAACACATAAGCAAGGATGTGCAGATCTCAGAGAATTAGACAGATCCTTCAATATGGGACCAAAGATGGCTAGCCAAAAGACCCCAGAGCTTCCTTAGTTAGCCACAGTATCCCTACACTGTCTCATCAAGAATTTTAAACTATCTTAGGGCCGAGCTAAGAATAAAGCTCTGGCCTCATCTGGATATAACATACATGAACACAACAGAAGTCTAAAAACTCTGTTGACAGCCTCTGCTCCCACCACTTATCTTAATCCTCTTCTTTACACTTTTCCACAAGAAATTTACTAGCTTAACTAAATGCCCTAAAGAGTAAGTACTTCTCTGGACACCCCTCCCCGCAATCTGCTTCCTGTTCCTGCAGTTCAATACACACTTCTAACCTTGTGGCAGCAGAGACACCAGAATGTGGAACAGATACCTGGTCATACCAGGATCAGGCATTACAACTTAGTTTCCATGAGAAGTGAGTCCACCTTCCCTGTCTTCCCATTTCCAATTAAGGGACAGGAGCAGCAAAAGCTGTCTCTTTGGAAGACAGATACCTTCCAGGGAGTGCAAATTTATAACTGCAGAGTGCATTATTTAGTTTCTCTGCCAGCAATAGTACTTGTAGAATGCCCATGGCTGTCACAGAGGTGAAAGAGGCCTCCTAAAGCTAACTTCTTGGGATGAAAGACACAGAAGTTTCAGAGGTTAAAGCCAGGTTCTAAGTCTGCCTCATGACAGCTCTGCCGCACAGACCACTTTTATATCATGCTCTAAAATTAGGACAAAAATAAGGCCAGTAAAACTGTAAGTTGGTCTAAAATAATGCAGCTACACAATTTTACCCCTATGTGACATGATATATGTGGTCAGGAGGAGAGGAAGAACTAGCCTAAGTTTTGTTCCAGTGTGCACAGGTCTAAAGTTTTAAAAAAAGCCCTCCTGTGCAGTATTACTTGGGAGAATTAAGAAGGAAAGAATACTTTAAAGCTACCTTGAGGTGTTAACTAATTGGATGAAATGAGGTTTGAAAAAGAAAAATTTCTAATCAAACTTAATATAAAAGGAAGCTCATTTAAAATTAATTTAATATCTGAATTTTATGGAACATACTACAGAATTCTAGGTTTTTTGTTTTTTTGGCAGTACTGGGTTTGAATTTAGGGCCTCACACTTGTTAGGCAGGTGCTCTAACACTTAAGCCACTCCACCAGCCCTGGTTAATTTCTAACATCAGGAATGGAGGATTCAATGTAGCAAGCAGTAGGCTTGAAAGCAGTAAGCAGTGACAGTGTAACTCAGTAGGTCTAAAAGCAATTGGGGATGCTCTGTCTTTTTTGTATGTGTAGAAAAAATGAAGGATGATTAGAAACAAGAACCCTGTGCTCCTGGATGCTCCACCTCTAACTCCAGAGCTTGCAGAGAGGTTCACGGGAAAATAATGAAAGATTTCAGCTTCTTGGGGACAATTTCCAAATCTATGCTGGAGTGTTAAGGACAGTTTCCATCAGGCCATGGGGGGAGACACTTACCACAGCGACATGATCCCAATTCCTGCTGCACCAGCTCCAGTTTGGTTTGGCACTGGAAGCACCGACGTCGACTCTTCTGTTTTGACCGGCTGGCTTCCTCAGGCCGTTCAGTCCTCTCCAGTAGTCGTGGCCGCTTCACTGGTGAAGCCTCATTCTCAGACTGTGAATCTGACCAAAACAACACATTTGGGGATCAGGTTGTTAGATCTCGGCCTGGCAAGCACACCTGATTATTTCCTGCCAACATTCTTCTGGCTAGGCTACTGTCCATGTAGGAAGGAACTGGACCCACATAAGCAAGAGAAGTAATTTTACTTACCTAGTTTGCACTGCAATAACTGTGACAAGCATGTACCTTTAGGGTTGACTTCTATAAGCAAGACCTGAGCTGGAGAGGACGGAGGAGATGGATCAGTAAAAGTTCTAAGTTGTTGTTTTTAAAAATAGCTAAGTTTCCATGAAGAGACCATTCTGGCTGGAAACGGAATCCTCTCTTTGTTGGTATTTCCCCTTCCCTGGACCCCAGATATTCACTACTTGTATAGACTATTTACCTCTTGGGTATTTGTCCTCGACTAGACTGTAATTCTTTAGAGAAGAGACTATCTAATGTTGTCTTGTTTGCTTATTTGATTTTGGGGGATAAGGTCTTGCTATGTAGCCCCATGGAAACTCACTGTGTAGCTCAGGCTAGTCTCAAACTCACAATCCTTCTGCCTCAGCCTCCTCAATGCTGTTCCATCACACCAAGATCCTAATGTATCTTATTACTATGCTTAGATAATTCCATACCCCACACCAGTGCTTTATGCATGACTAGCAATCTTTTCCAGCAAAATTTACTCATGTTTCCATTCCTAAACACACAAGAATTGGGCTCCAATTGAATAAGCCAAGCTTTATTCACAGTGAAGAACTATCTCTACTTGTTCACACAAGCTGTCCTAGCCTCCTCTTTGGGGTGGTAAGAGAGGCAGCACTTGACAGCACAAACCTAGGAGCTGTGCACGTGGAGAGAGATATAGTGTGTGATAATTTGTGCCTTACATAACCTCAAAACAGTAACTAAAATGCTGTAAAGTTCATGTTGCAGGCAGGTTGTAAATAACTCTTGCTTTCAAAAGGGGCAGCACCTGGGGGCTCTGTGATAGCTGCCAATGCATGCTGAGGATACATCTCTTGCCAAGGATGCAAAATGGTTTGTCTTAAGCTGCCTCTGAAAGGAACACTCCTAAATGGCCTTCAAGATAATCCAGACCCCACAATTTCTTACCTCTCCACCACCTGGCCATGGTTTAAGCCATAAACATCTCCTTCAGCCTAATACAAAAGGAGTCTCTTGAGTGGACTCCCTCCTCACTCCTTCGCCTTTACAGTCTATTTCCCACATAGGAGCCAAATAATTCCAAGTTAGAATCATAACACCTCTCTGCCCAAAACCTGCTAATAGCTCCCTTTCTCAGAGTAAAAGACCAAATATTCTGACCCCCACAGGACCCTACAGGATTTGCCCTCCTCACATCACTCTTCACAGCATTTCTTGCTGCTTTCTCCCTTTGCTCCATCTATAACTTTCTGTTCTCTCTGTGTGAACCAATATTCACCCAGATCTTCATGGATTTCATTTCCTTTAATTCTTTGCTCCAGGCAAATATTCCATGAAGTCTTCTTCCTAGATCACCCTATCTAGATCACTCCCCTCCTTTCTTGCCTTATATTCCTCAAAGCACTCATCTCTTATGATAGCTAAACTAGATCATCAACCTGATTGGATTGAGGAACACCTAGGAGATTAAGTAAAGTGCACCTCTGGGTGTGTCTGAAAGCATTCCCAGATATGATTAGACCATGATGGCTCTGACCTAATCAATAAGCTAATCCACTGATGGATTCAAAGTCTGAATAGACTATTGGGAGGCAGTCCCTGGTTGGAGGAAGTAAGTTACTGTGCATACATCCACAGGGGCTATATCTTGCCGGCTCCCTTCCTGTCTGTTATGGCCACCTCTGCTTCCTGTTCACCATGATGGACTAAAACATCTGAAACCATGAGCGAAAAAAATTCTTCCCTCTTTAAGTTGCTTTTGTCAGGTATTTGGTCACAGTAACAATAAAAATGACTAACACATCCCTTAACATCTCCTAGGAGAATGTAAACTCTGGGAGGGCAGGAAATTTCACCTACTTTGTCCACTGATGTGCCCTATGCCTACTACTCGATAAATTATTTAATGAATGAGTCTTTGTCTTAGAGTCCTGGTTTTCTACTTAAAGTGGCATGAAAGAGAAGCTGCAGCATGTTGATGTATTTTAGTGAAGGGTGTCTGTACACCTTTCCCCAGCCTCTCTCTATGTGAGGAGGATGGTGTACTTCACCCAAGACCATCCACTGGCTCCAACAGTGCTGTGTGTGTGTGTGTGTGTGTCTATCTGTCTGTGTGTGATTTGTGTGTGCGCGCACGTGCGTGTCTGTGTGTGTCTGTGTCTGTGTGGTGGTAGGGAGACAGTTAACTCACAGCCCCAGCCCCCCTGCTTCGTGCACTGGCAGATAGAGGTCCTGTACAATTCTTAGCAATTGCAAACTTCATTTTTCATCTCATTTAATTCTTCCAGTTCCACATGGCATTTTCCCCCAGTACAAACCAACTAAATAAGACCTTTGATGAAAACAATTGAAAGCAAGTTCAGCCTATTTCCCAGCTTTGCTGAGCGAAGAAGCTGTCTGGACCCAGTTGGTGTGGCGACTGAGGCAGCCAGACGTGCCAGACCCAGTCCCCCTTCCTCTACAAGAGCAACAAGCCACAATCTAAATGTAAATCATTACAAAGCAGCTAGTCCAAAGGATCGTCTCATATTCGTCACACTGCTCTCCTGGGGGTCATTTTTCACAAACCAGCAATGTTATTATTTGTATCAATAAACCTACCCAACCATGTATGTTTTTTTTTACGTAACAAGAAAAAAATTCTAGAATAAAAGCCTTTAACTAATTAAAGAGAGTCTGTTCTGAGGTAGGGCCTAAATTTGAAACATCCTTATAAGAAATTATCCTCCAATCTGGAGTAAAAGTGGGGCTCTACAAAAGATGGAGGCAGGTGAAAACTTTTTATTAATATTGTTAAAATCTGGAGGGTCCTGGCATGATGCTAGCACACCTACAATGTAAAAGAAGCCCACTCAAGACTGTGAGCCTCTGTTATTCACACTCAGAAATGAACGTGTGTTTGCAAATACAAAGTTCACATTCAGAGCTTTTTCCACAAGTCTGGCCCAAACTGTCAAGTGTGCTGCCTACGTTCAGAGCATCCACTTTCATTTATAAGCAAGCCTTCACTGCAAAGAGAAGACAATTGCAGGAGGGAATAAAGCTGGCGGTGGGCGAGGGAACCCTTCAGTGTGGCAGTGCTATTACAGGTATTTCCAAGTAAGCAAGGGAGTGATATTGTGCAAAGGTTTTTTTGTATGATTTGTATGATAGGGAAAAAATTCATATTCATATAATCATAATCACCACCAGTCATCACCACGCAACCTTCTTTGATGGGATCCCCAAAAGTTAAGAGGCTGGTCCAGTCTTGACCTCTTTTCCTGATTCTCTCTAATTAGACCTTATCTGACCAATGAATATTAATAACAGCACCAAAGAATAAACCCACATGGTCCTGTGCTGAGATTTTCCTTATCTATTCTACATGAATATCAAGATTGCTGCATTACATGTTCTGGTAGGTGGTAGGCAAGGGATATTCCTGAAATAATCGATACTAAGGGAGGTTTCTATTGCTGCCAACAGCTTCTGACTGCACCTTACTGACCATCATCAAAGGTACAACAGAACCCTACTTGTTCCAGAGAGTCAATGCCCTTACCATCTGTACAAGTCTACGACCAAAGGCACCCATGTATACAAAGTCTAAGCTTCAAGAAGCAGTCCTACATGATTCTGTACAACACAGACAAAATGTCTCAGAGAATGCGTTCTTTCTTAGAATCAAGGAACTATTCCCAGACATTAAGAGATCCACAACTTTTAAGCTTTGGAATAAAGAAATCTCTGTGCTCCTAACTGGTCCCTAACACGAAAAGGGAGGGGAATTTGGCTCCCAAAACTGTTTACCACCCTCTGTGCTGCCATTCAGGAAGGTGGTTGTGTTAAGTGTAACTTCTTGGTGAAGCAAACCATTCTTTGGCTTTTTCTCACAAGTCAACTTAGTGTTTTAATTAGAAGTTAGTGAAACACTCTATAGGATCATCATCATGTCTGCGTGAAATTTACATCTCCTTTGCCAAATACTTAATGGAACCTTGTGCCAAGGCGTGAGTTGCCTAAATAAGAAAAACAGATGTCCAGAGCAAGGATTCTATTTATGTAATAATGAACTACATAATTCAACTATTGATTTATAAATTTAATGCCAATTAGAAAACGACAATCAGAAAAGATCCAAACATGAGAAACCATCTACTGTTCAAATTAGAATAAATTCAACTTTATCCAGTTTTTGCTTACAAATATCACTTCTGTTACCATGAAGCATTTTAATTTCCTGAACAATGACAGAATACACCTCATCAACCTACTTGCATACTCTGAACTTAGGTAGTAAGGGTTAAACGTGGAAAGAAAGGTGAACAGAAATGACTCTCACATGCAGCTGTAACTGTCAGAAGAAACAAGTCCTTGCAAGCATCATGCTCATTAGCAGCAGGAGGAGCTGTGGTGGCAAGCTAGAACTGTCCCCACCCCAGGAGTTAAGAGTGATTGCTAATTAAGGTCCTTCATGAAGAGCCAACGAAGCAGATTTTTTCCAGTATGCTTTCTCTTGAGAACATAATCTAGTCTGGGTATACCACGCAGAGCTGCTGCACTCCCATGCCAGATTCATAGATCTTGGTACTCAGCAGACCCCCTCCCTCTCTGCCAAGGTTTAACAGAATGACAAAGATATTAAATCTTCTAAGGAAAATCTTAAGTACTTTTACCTATGTCAGCTTTCTTGATCTAAAGGTAACCACTTGCTTAACTTGTGACAGAGAAGACAAGTACAATGACTTTACAAATATAATCTTCTGAAGAGAGAAATTCTCCTAATTGTACTTTCCTAGCCAACTGCAGAAAGTAGTGCTAAGACTTTCATTTTAACTGGAAAGCATCACTTGAAACAACA